GGAAAATCTACAGCAACTGATTAACTCCGGCCATGAAAGCCTTCGACAACATATTTAAAAGCCATTAAAATAACCCCTCCAAAACACGTCATTCAATTAAAGAACAATTACTAGTGTGGACTTGTGTAAACAGAAGGTTCCAATTTATTTTTTTCAAAAATGCCCGAGACTGTAATAGTGTCTGTCTGCCTGTCTATCTGTCTGTCTGTCTCTGCTCATATAGCGATAGCCTTGAGCAGAAAATAAAAGTATAAAATAAGATAATGCCTTACTTATTGTTATTCTTCTGTTTAATTATTGCTCCCATAAAATTTGCCATAGAGTAACAAAATCATTTATATCTGATAGTAACCACATCACCTCTGCTCTCATACTGTCAGATGCCTACAGTGGGCATTTCCTTATTTCTAAGTAAAGGAGTAATTAAACTAGCCCTCAGGTCATTAAATATGGGACATTCCATAATCGTATGTTCAATTGTTTCAGTTTTATCATGTGAGCATCTATATGTTCTATTTGAAGTCTGTAATAGAAAAATAAACTTCTAAGCTTTGAAGTTCAAGGCAGCCACTTACTGGGAAGACTTCCTTTGCCGAATACCCATATGACAGATAATGGTATAATTCTTTAAATAATACGTTCTTTCTCTGATCCGGGCCAATGCTGGGTATTCAAGTCAGAAAGATCACAGCCCGGCACAAATGCTTACCAGGAACAGATCTGATCCCTGAGGTAAATGTTTGTGTCTACAACACATAGAATGTCATGTGTTTTCCATGCAGAAGCTCCTATGTGTATAAGAGAGATCTCCCCCTGCCTTTATTCAGATAGAAGGATTTGTTCAAGTGTGGTCTCCACATGTTCATGTCTCCCACACATGTTCTTGTACACCACGGTGGAGGGGGAAAGTTCCATGGAGGAGAAAAGAGCTATGCGTGCTCTTCAGTTGTATTTACTGCATTTGTGATTGGTATGGGACAGGAGTAGGGTTGCCAACCTCCAGGTGGTAGCTGGAGATCTCCCGGGATTACAACTGATCTCTAGGCAACAGAGATCCGTTCACCTGGGGAAAATGGCCACTTTGGAAGGTGGACTCTATGGCATCATACCCCACTGAAGTCCCTCCCCTCCCCAAACCCCACTTTCCTCAGACTCCACCCCCAAAATCTCCAGCCAGGTATTTTGCAACCTGGAGCTGGCAACCTGTTATGTATTAAGATGGCTGCGACCGTGTGCGCCTGGCCATGCGGTCGAACCAAACATGGACCTTTGGGTCCGAGAACAATAGACACTGCAGATCCTAGGTGCGGACCAATGGGAGCGCCAGGATCCTGTAAGGAACCTATAGTTACTGAGGGCATGTACATAGAACCTATCATGGGAATCGGGGGATGTTGGGTGTGTGTGTAGACAAGAATATAAGCCGGCTGCGGACCGGCTAGTTTATCTTTCATTTTCCAATGTAATCAATAAATGTGAGCTGATTTAACCATGCTACGCCTGGAACTCCAGTACTTTTCACAACCCTAGACAGAAGAGAGCCAATTGCTTGGTTCAGATATGAAATGGTTTATTTTAACTAGGGTTTGTTTCTGAAACCAGGATTTGGATTGCAGATGATCATCTAGATATTGGTTTCCCTGGCAAATGCTGGTTTCTCTAACTTTCCTCTTTCTTAGCCTGCTCTATATGAAGATAGATTCAGGTGGGTAGCTGTGTTGGTCTGAAGCAGCAGAACAAAGTTTGAGTCCAGTGGCTTCTTTAAGACAAAGTTTTATTCAAGGTATAAGCTTTCGTGTGCACACACACTTCTTCAGATACATTGAAATAGAAGTTCCCTGTTCATACATATAGGTAGAGGGCGAGCAGCAAATTAGCATAAGCATAATAAAAGTTGTTTTAACAGATGCAAGGACCAGACTGAAATAACAAGCTTAGTTTATATGGTCACCATTTGTTTGGGTTTAATTAAGGGGGGGAAAACATAGTGAAGGAAATAAATATATCAAAACTGGAGACTGATGTGCAAATGTACCCTTCTGAATTGTGGAATATTGAGAGTAATTAACTGAGATCTATGCTTGAGAGGAGACGGATGGAGCAGTCATTTCTTGTTTGTTATGTTCTTCCTTTGAGTGGCTGTTGTTTCTTATTTCATCTAGCTGCATTGCTGTGAAAAAGTTGTTTTGCATGATAAAATGGCGCTGATCTGTTAGTCGCTGTTCAGTGGTGGTAGAATGGGGACACTTTTCTTTCCATATTTCAAACATTCATTTCAAATATCCACGCTGTTCAGATCTTGATTCAAAATAACATTGCATGATGATTCGGTCTTGTTCTCGAGATAATTTTTTTGTTGACATTGCTGCTTTCCCAGTAACTGATCAGGTCCCTGCTCTGGTTTCTCTATAGAAGATCCTGCTTCCAGTAGTACATCAGGTCTCTCCCTTGGTTGCCCAACAGAAGAGCCTGTGTCCTGTAGCCTATTTTTCACCAGAGATCCAGGAACACCAGTCTCTGATGTGGTCCTTGTTAATCTGGGCAATGACCAAGGTGGTATAGAATTAGAATTCGATTTTCTTGCCATATTGAATCAGGGTTTGGGATGCTTTTAGTCTGATTCCTTAGCAGAAGCCTGTCTACTATGGGAGGCCCTGCCAGCAGCTATGTTGCTGATAGCATAGCCCTCTGCTTCAGTGTGGCACACAAGCCCCACCAGCACAGCAAGCTTGCATCCTGTAGGGGGTTATTATTGTTATCATTAGTAGTAGTAATAGTAGTAGTGGTAGTATTAGTGGCTCAATCTGCAGACCACCAGCTGGCTGGTGGGGAGCCCCCCCTTAAGAGTCCCGCCCTGCCCGATGTGCCCGGTGTGATCACATCTACCCGGAGGTGACGTCATCGCGTTGGGAATGTCATGCGGGGACGCTCTAGCATTTTGGGCAAAAACTCTATGGTGACCAGAATACTCCCGGAGCAGGACTGGAAACTCCAAGGGAGGGAGACAAAGCCAGAATTAGTTGGCTCTACATACTGTTGGCTCCAACTCTGCCTACTGTTGGCTGCTGTCTCCTCCGTCCCATTAGCCCCATCAGCCACTATGCCAAAGGAAGTTTGATTTATCTGCATAACTCTGATATTATTTATAATTTCAGTGACATGCCACAGAACAATCCACTGCATGATCTTTGTTTCATTTATCAGGTCTGTCCTGCCTGCATGCTCGTCTATCAGCTTATCTGTCTTAGTTGCTTTGCTGAAACAATCCACTCAAAGAGACATGCAAGATACCAACATGTTTTTTTTAAAAAAAATCTAAATCTAATTGAAAAAATAATAATCTAAAACACTGGAAAGATTAGTAAACTGTTTTAAAATATTCTATAAAGGGAGACTGCAGAGTAAAATCCACATAAACGGTTATTCAGTTATTACAGTCTCTCTGAAATACCTTTAAAAAACATTTGGCAGCTTAAAGGGGGCCTACCATTTCTTCCTAGAGCCCTCATTTCTCAATGTAAGCGCCACCATAGAATGGTTCTGGCAGCATTTGGCTTTGATTTCTATAAATAAGAGGCCATAGAACACAGCTGCACTCACAGAGCCTTAATGGGCAGGGGCTGAGGAAGGGCAGGGAGAACAGAGACTGAGAAGAGAGAACTGGTTCAGGGGTAATGGCAAACTGTGGTTTGCTACTATATAATGGTCCTTGAACTCGTGTGTACTAGGGAAGGAGGGATATTTACGATGAAATTGTGGTTTGCTGGTTATGTACAAAGAGGAGGAGCAGGAGGATGTGAGCCCTGTGCGTTTACTGATTTCTTTGTGTATCAGCAAACCACAGTTTGCTTTATATCTGTACCATGCCGTAGTGGCACGCCCAAAGCACCAGAGTCAACATCACGGGGAAATCTACTTATTTTCACATTTTCATCTAAGCATATCCCTCTGACCACACAGAACTTTGCACACCATACTACAGTGCAGTGTCTGATGGAATCACTGAGAGCAGGATGAAGTCTGTCAAAAAGGTACCTGTGTGGTTGTCTAGTCCCTCTTCTGCCAATTCTCTGCCCATCGTTTTTTAGCCTTCCTTTAATCAGAGCATCCCTTACTGCAGAACTGAAGTAATGGCTCCCCCTGTTGAGGAACAGCGAGGAAGTAAAGGGAGATCAAAATAAAGCCGTTGGCTAGAAGAGGAACATGTCTGCACTAGCAATTTAACCTGTCCTGCATTTGGCTAGGGACAAAGGCACAAAAAAGTAGGATCTGATCACCATTCTCCTGCAAATTAAATCAATAACCTGCGCATACCTGTATCCTCTAGGTAGAACGCCAGTTAAGCTGTTTAGAGGCCCCCATGCACATGACAATGAAGCAGAAAATAATGGAAGCTGCGGGAAGCTACAAGGGTACGTCTAATGATCTGTGACTGACTCCCTAGCACAAGTGGGTTTGACAGGAAGTCGACTCTGGCTGCTGATGTCAGAATTGCTTTGGAGGAAAGCTTGAAACTGCTCTGAAGGACTAGAACCGCAAGCAGTGCTTGGAGAAAATCTGGGCAACTTTTTTTTAAAAGGGCAAAAGAGGATACATTACTGTTAATACTGTGGGTTTGCTGGATTGTTTTTCTGGGTGCCTGTTTTGTTTCACTAATTTATTTTTATTTTTCTTGTTCCAATATAGTTTTCTTAACCAAAAAACTACACCTTGTAACAACCAGAAAATTTGGCAGCAATAGGGATTTGTGATAGAAAAAATGGCAGAGAGAGAAGAAAAAGGAGTGCGGGTGCAGGGGTTAGAAAAAAAACCACAATAGAAATGGGAGGGGTAGGGGGAGAGGCAAGGAGTGGGGCGGAGGGCTGGAATACATGGCGATCTGGCCCTGGGGTCGGTCCCACTATGGCAGGGCCGGGGGCCATGGGCAGTCGCTGCCACCTTGGACATCCTTACACCGTTCCATCAGTAGTACCACGGGCGGGGCCACGCAGGAAGGCATGTCAATACTGGGATCTCCGCAAGTGGTTGGCCATCTCAAAGCACTTCTTGTTCATGCAGCCGCCGTGGACACCTTCCTTCCCCATCATGAGGACTATCATCTTGCTGGTCACGGCTGCTGTGATGTTGAAGGTGGGGGCTCCGCCTGTGCTCTTGGTCCGCAGGTCCATGGTACACTCCCCGTCCGTGTGCAAGCTGTCCCAGATGACGGAACACTTCTGGCCCCCAAGCGTCAGCCCGTTCACAAACATGTTGTCTCGGTCCTTTCCTACCAGGACGTTTACTTCCGCTGGCGTAATGCCGGCGAAGGTCTTGCCCGGGCGGCAGCCCAGACAGACGGCACGTCTTTGTAGCCCACGATGGCAGCGTCCTGGCAGGTGCCGTCGGCCATCAGGCTGTCGATGTAGCAGTATTGTTTCACTAGGCCGGGTACATTTATGCAGCTCATAGGCTTTTAGACAACACGAACTTATGTCATAACAACACTTCCTGTTTTCCACGGGAAGTAATATTGTGTATGCCATGACACCCCAAACACCTGCCCTCAGATCCTCCCTCCCAGCAGGTTACTAGGCACTCAGCAGCCCAGACCTGCTCAGTTTTAGCAAAATGGCTGCCATCACAGGGCAGACTGGCCATTTAACTTAACAGGGAATTTTCCCAATATAGGCTGCTTCCTTAGAGGGCCTCTGGCAGTGAAAAGCAAGCAGAGCCAAAGCCTAACAACCATGAGGGCTACTTTGCTTGGATCTTCATCCTAAATGATGGCCAGTGTCAGTTCTCCAGTTGTTGCCCCCTGTACAGCTGTTAGTTTGTGGGAGGAAGCAGCAATGGGTGAGAAAGGGCTCATTGTTGGCACTGCAGAACCGAGTGGCTAGGAGGATTCCCAGGCAGTGCCTGGCAACTGGTGGGAGGATTGTGTAGTGAGCAGCATCCTGGGAGAGAAAGTAAAAATGAGGCCTCATCCATGTACAAGAAGTTCTGACCATACAGTTCCTGACATTTCCTTGCGCTACCTGGACTGACAAGGGTGGCTCTAGCTGTAATGTATTCAATAAGCTGCCATTGAATGCATAATGTGTTATGAAAACATCTAATTGAAATGCTATGTTAGGCTTCGTCTGGGGCTAGGATCCAAATACATCCAATCACATTGCTAGCCCAGGAAGCACCTAACCAATCACTATCAACAAGCTCCCTGAGCGGGAATGTCCGTGATTGGTCCTTATCTATGCAACCTAGGGTTGCCAAGTCGATCTTCGCCGGGAGCGGGGGGCTCCCGGCTGGCGTCTGGTGCATGCCGTAGAGTTTTCCCTCGGATGGCCGGGGCCCCGCCCCCAGCGTGCCTGGCGTGGTTGCATCACTTCCAGGTGACGCACACGTCAAGGAGGAGTTCCCCCGGGGCCCGATCCGGCGGCGCCAGGGAACGGGCCTGTTTCCCCGCCCCCAGGGGGGACTTGGGAAGCCTAATGCAACCTTATTGGTTGGTAAATGTACAGTAGGCATGGCTACATTAGCCGGGAGAGTTTAAAAGCAGGACAGCTGCAATGTAAAAGCTGTTCTGGTTATCAGATGTTGATCTGTGTTGGAGTTGTGTTTGAGATGCTGAATAAAGCTGAATCCTTGCTGAATCACTCTCCGACTACTTTGTTAAGCGAGCGACTTAACACTAGCAATCATCAGAAACTCTGTGATAAGATTACCATGGTGTTTCTGGCACTTGCTAGAGCTATCTTTTGTCACTTTTGGGAAGCCCTAGGAATCATCAGGAACTCTATGGTCAGAACTTCTTGTAAGCTGCTATTGCTTTTTTATTATTATTATTGCTTTTTATTTTTTTCCTCACCTGGATGATCACTGCCCCTCTTTTTGGCCCCAGCTTCCGCCTGCTGGTCAACTGAACATTGGCAGGCAAGGGCTGCAACTGCCTGGGGGTGTTCCACAATAAGCCGGCAAATGGGAACCTTATTTGGGGCCCTCCGGCTCTGGTTTATGGTGCAACCAGGCCCTCCTCTGCATGGCTTGCTCCAGGGTCGTGTTAACGTCTCGGTCTGCCCCTGCTAATTCACATGTCCTCCACCTGTACTATGGGGCCTAATGTGGTCTGGTGTTATGCAAGAATTGATTGGGATAAAGGCAGAGACAGTTGCCCAATTTGGTGAGGGTCCCACAGATTCCACAGTGGGTGCTTTTCAGCTGGACTGCCAGATCTTCTGGAAAGTTCCAAGTATTTCTTTAACTGAGTAGCAGCTCTCTCTGTCTGTATTGTGCCATCAAGTTGCTTCTTCTAACCTATGGAGATCCTCTGAACTGACACCCTCTAAAATTTCCTGTCTTTAACAGCCTTGCTCCAGGTCTTGCAAACTGAGGGCCGTGGCTTCCTTGATGGAGTCAATCCATCTCATAATGGGGTCTTCCTCTTTTCCTGGGATTATTTCCCCCCAGAGATTCTTGTCTTCTCATAATGTGACCAGAGACCAATAGTCTCAGTTAAGTCATTTTAGCTTCTAGGGAGAGTTCAGGCTTGATTTCATCTAGAACCCACTGATTTGTCTTTTAGGGGTTTTTTTTGTATTTGTGTGTACATGTGCACATGCGCATGTCTGGAAGTCATGGCTGACTGGGGCTGGGAGGCAAGGACATTCAGAGAGGTGGCTTGCTGCTTGCCTCTATGTCATGGCCCTGGTATTCCTTGGAGGTCTCCCATCCAAGTACTTGCCAGGATCAGCCCTGCTTAGCTTCCGAGATCTGATGAGATTGGGCTTGCCTGGGCTATCCAGGTGAGGCCCTGGTTTGTCTTTTTGGAGGTCCACAGTAGCCGTGAAACTCTCCTCCACCACCATATTTCAAATGAATCAATGTTTTTCCTGTCAGCTTTTCTCATTGTCCAACTGTCACACCCCTACATGGCAATGGAGAATACCACGGTATGAATTAACTTGAATGAATTAGCAGCTCTAGCTCTTTATTATTCATTTAGAATAATTTTGGAAATGATTTTTAGAACTAGTTCCTGTTGTAAAAAAGGCCAAAAAAACACCCCTCTATTAGTTTAGTCTGAACCTGTTTTTCTCCTTTCTGTCACAAATTAGATTTAATGCACCAGAACTGAGCCTAATCCTCTTTTATTTTTTGTATTTTTTGGGAGGGGGGTAAAGGAGCTTAAATAACAAAGCCCTGTTTGGCTATTATGTGATTCTTTATGCCTGGTGCATTATACACGTTGCATTTGAAACTCCTAATAATTCCGTCACACTGAACTCTTAAAGCAAGTGCAATACAAATGAACTTGCATACCACTATTTAATTTGTATTGAAATAAAAAGTAATGGCCACTGGCTGAAAAGTGTATCTTTGTTATTAAGGCAGCAAATTACAATTATGAGAAAACAATACCATTATTAGTTTGCAAAAGTTATTTGCGTTGATTAAAAGCACCAATAAGTATGCCTTGCTACCAGAACTGCTCCATTTAGCACTTGACATATAATAGGTTTTTCTCCTTTCACAATGTAATATCTCCATTGAAATATAATTATTTTGCAGATTGCTCAACTGAATGCCCTTACAAACATGCTGTTAGGGGGAACTCACCCCTGGAGATCATCAGAAGATCATGACAATATGCACAATTGATGTACACGCGAGAGATGCTTGTAGCAAAGCTTATAGCACAGAAGGTAATTTGTTGCAGAGCAATTACCCTAATGCATTTTTTAAAAGCGTAAAATAAAGAATAATTTCATTTGTCGAAAAGATATTCGGGTAGTTTATGTATAATGATGACAGAATATTTTGATTCAGTCAATTTTCATCCCTTTCTCCCCCCCTTTGGTTTCTGACTGTAAGTAATTACATTTACCAGTTTTTTAAAAATGCTACTTTAAATATATATGTGTGTGTGAGTGTGTGTTTGTCCAAATGTTTAAAGTGTCTATTTAAAATGGTCTCTATGAAATGACAGCAAGTCCTCAGTGATCTGCCCCAGCCCTCTTAAATGCCGCTGTCGAAATGTGCATTCGTGACAGCAGGCATGGCAATTTAAGTCACACAAAATACTGTGATTGTATAATATTTTTCTGGAGTGCTTTCTTTTTCTTTAGTATATTGTTGAGAGTGTGTGTTTTTTTCCCCCTGAGGAGGTGGCAACAACATGGCTGCCAGTTCCTTTGCTCTAATTGTGGTCCCGTATGTGTATCCATATTTCAGTGACAGAGCACTTTGAATTCAGAAAGCTCCAAGTTCAATTTGCATTATCTCCAGCTACAAAGAGTTCAGGTGGCAATAGGGATGTCAGGGCTCTTTTTGTAGAAAAAGCCCAGCAGGAACTCATTAGCATAATAGGCCACACCCAACAGCAGGAACTCATTAGCATATTGGGCCACACCCCTGACAGCACAGCTCATTAGCACATTAGCCCGCACCCACATGTTACCAGAAGTGTGGTTATCCAGCCATACCCACCTTTTGCTTGTTATTCTGTTTACCTTGTTTGTTGTCAAACCCAGGGCCTTTTTTTGTAGCAGGAACTCCTTTGCATGTTAGGCCACACACCCCTAATGTAGCCAATCCGAATGAGTTTCTGCTGTTGGGTGTGGCCCATTATGCTAATGAGTTCCTGCTGGGCGTGGCCAACCTGGGAGCCAGCCGGAACTCCGTTCCTGTGCGTTCCTGCCCAAAAATAGCTCTGGGGATGCCAACTTTAGGTTGGGAAATACCTGGAGATAGAAGGAGTGGAGCCGGGGGTGGTGGTTAGGGTTTGGGAAGGGGAAGGACCTTAGTGGGATATAATGTCATACAGTCCACCCTCCAAAGCAGCCATTTTCTCCAGGGGAACTGATCTGGGTCATCATTGGCAGTCTCACTGGCAGTCTTTACGCGGTGGCTGGACAAGCACTCGTCAGGGATGCTCTGGGCTGATCCTGCATTGAGCAGGGGGTTGGATTAGATGGCCTGTATGGCCCCTTCCAACTCTGTGATTCTGTGATTCTATGATCTGGAGAGCCATTGTAATAGTGGGAGGTCTCCAGGCATCTCCTGGAGGTTGGCAATTCTAGGTGGCAGGACTAGGACTATCCTGAGCTTGAGACCTTAAAGAACCTGTACCATTAGGAGAAGTCAGTCCTGGGTGAGAAGGATCAGTGGTCTCATTCGGAATACATAGGTTCATAGGGCCAGATTGAGGAGAAAGTGGATACCATGAAGCTCTACCATTACAATGGAAAGGTTGGAAGAATGAGGATTTGAGGAACTTAGCCACACAGTCTGGTGTAGCGGTTAAGAGCACGGACTCTAATCTGGGAGAACCGGGTTTGATTCCCCACTCCTCCACTCGCAGCTGCTGGATGACTTTGGGCAAGCCATAGTTCTGTCAGAGGTGTTCTTGAAAAGAGCAGTTACTGTCAGAGCTCTCTCAGCCCCACCTACCTCACAGGATGTCTATTGTGG